TTGCCCATTATGCCACCTGCAGAGATGTGTCATTTTCCTAGGGATATCACTTTAGGTGGCCTTTCCATGGCCTCCACCTCGGTGGACAGACATTCCAGAAGGTGGCACTCAATCCTCCAGAGCCCTAGGGAGTGAACACGTTGCATTTCTGCTCACCTTGGTCCCAGGGGTCTGTGAGGACTCACTTCTGAGAGCTGCTCAGGTCTAGTTGAGATTAACATGCTTGTTTTGCAAGACCAGATCAAGGGAGTGGCATGCTGAAGGGAGGAGGGATGCCAGCTTGGCAGCCACACACAGCACTGAGGGGATGTGGGACCTCAGACAAATCACTTTTCTCAGAACTTTCTTCATCTCTAAAATCAAAGTGCTAGATAGTATGCTCCTAAGGTCCAACCCAGCCATTGAATTCTCTGACTCCCCAACATGAGGGGTTTATGATGAGGGCAAGTATAGAGGCCTGCAGCATTTCCTAGATGTGCTCTGTTTGCATGTGTCCTCCCCAAAATTCAGGGGTAGCCAATGTGATGATGCTAAGAGGTGGGGTCTTTGCGATGTGATCTGGCTGAGGGCTCCTTCCTCCTTAGCGGGATGGAGGCCTTTATCAGCGGCCTCGGGGAGCATTTGGCTCGCTGGCTGCTCTGCCCTCAGCTCCTCTGCCACAGGAGGATGCAGCCTCACCAGACTACCAAACCTGCAGACGCTCGCTCTTAGACCTCCCAGGCTCCAACCGTGAGAAATAAGTGTCTGCTCTTAACAAATCATCCCGTCTCAGGCAGTTTGCTGCAGGAGCACAGAGTAAATTGCTTACCCAATTTGTGTGTGTGTGTGTGTGTGTGTTGTAGGTGGTCAGGGAAGGGAAAACAGCCACAACACTGAAACCTGAGAGATTTGTGAGTGGTGCAGTGGAACCACAGGGGCTTAGGAACTGTGGTTGACCAGCAACTCTGAGAAACCACAGGCCTGCTCACTAATCTCCGTTAGCTGCTTCTCCAGCTGCCAGCTCATTTTCCTCTGAGAATTAGGGGATCACCACCACCCTACTCATATCCAGTCTTCTTTGACTCAAGGGCAACCTTGTATAACTGGGCCAAACTTTGTTCCTTTCATTTCAGTCTGAGAGCTGGCTGCATGACTCTGATCTTGCCACCTTTGCCTCTGAGGGCAGCTGCATGGTCTCCCTGCACAGGTGGAGGAGCCAGGCTGGCCTGGGGGCAGGACAGGGTCTCCGGCTATTTTAGTTGAATCCACAGAACTGGGCATTGTTTTAGTTGAATTCTCAGAACCAGGCACTTCAGTCACTCAAGCCCTCACCCATACTCTCCCAGCACCTATAGGGGCCCAAGGCAGGGCATTTGTCCAGTCTCAACGTGCTGCTACAGTCCCCCCCACACCAACCTGCTGAGTGGCTATGGGCACATGCACATAGAAGGAACTCAGGGGTTTGCGGAGACTGGGTCAGCAGCCATGCCGTGGTGTCCAGGCAATGTGAATGAGCTGGAGCAGCACCAGGGGAACTCCCTGGGATGTGGCAGCCCCTGGCCTGCCTTTCAGTGGACCCCAAGCTCTGACTGGTTTAACAAGTACCGAGAGGAATGACATCGTGATAACCTGGGGCTCTGCTCATGTTCTAAGCTATGCCTCACTGATGGGGCAAGTCTCAAAAGCACATGGGGAGAAATAGCCATAGAGATAATTTATTAACTCCAAATTTCTTAAGTATATAAACATCTGCCCACACCCCCTTCCCCCGTCAGCACCCTGAGCAGAGGGTAAAATGTGAGCGGGGTGGCGTCCGCCATAGCCTCTTTCCCCCGCAGCTGATTGTGCCCAGCTCTGCTCCCTTGGGCCTCTGCCCTTTCCAGAGTCTGTGGCCAGCCCATTCTGGTGCTGGTGCTGCAAGCAGGGCCGAAGGAAAGGTAGCTCCGCAGGAGTCCCGCCCTCCACTGACATATGGGGTGTGCTAGCTAAGTGCCCACCATGGGTCCTGCTCTGGATAAATACAACTGTGCCTCCTGGAAGGGTGACATCAGTTAAAACCTTTCCTTGATTAACTCTGGTTTTCTGAATTGGGCACACTGGATCTCATTTTGGGAGTTTCTGTGGGCTTTTCCATTTTACAAACATTGATTTTTCTCTCATAGGGCGGTGGATAGCAGGGTGGGCAATGCTGTAGCACCATCTGCAGCACCCTCAATGCATGTCCCATCTTGCTGGAGAAGCGTGTAGAAGCTGGGCAAGCAAATCCCAAGCAGTCTCTGTTGGGAGCACTTTACAGGGAGGCAAGGCAGCTTCCTTTGTGTGAGACGCTCTCTCCTAATGGACAGACAGCAATTAGGTTGAGCCTCAAGGCTCTACAACAGCCTCAAGGCTCTCCAACAACCTTTCATCAAAATAAATTTGAGAGATGTTAACATATAATATTGTTAATAATGAAGACACGGGATTATACATAAATTTACATCCTATTGCTCTCGCACCAATACCAACAAAAAGGCCTACAGGACAGGGAAGGGAACCTGGGGGTGGAGAGTGCACACAGACACGTGCTGACTGATGCACTGCAGAACTCCATCTGTGCCCCTTCAAACTGCTCATTCAGGGAGAGGTAAAGAATCAATTAAACTCCACTCCGTGGCCCCAAAAAACCTTTACTTTACTTTGTAGACCTTGTTTATGGTTCTTCTAAAGGGAATCATGCTTCTTGAAGAAATCATGGACTCTTTTTCTTTTAAGATTTATTTATTTATTTGAAAGTCAGAGTTATACAGAGAGAGAAGGAGAGGCAGAGAGAGAGAGAGAGAGAGAGAGAGAGAGAGAGAGAGAGATTGGTCTTCCATCCTCTGGTTCACTTCTTAATTGGCAACAATGGCCGGAGCTGTGCTGATCCAAAGCGAGGAGCTTCTTCCATGTCTCCCACTTGAGTGCAGGGGCCCAAGGACTTGGGCCACCTTTTACTGCTTTCCCAGGTCATAGGAGAGAGCTGGATCAGAAGTGGAGCAGCTGGGACTCGAACTGGTGCCCATTTGGAATGCCGGCACTACAGGTGGCGGCTTTACCCGCTACGCCACAGTGCCAGCCCCAAGACTCTTTCTTGATCCTTGTGGACTGTCTCATTTCAGAGAGCAGTAAGGACACAAGCGTCTAGAATGGATACTGTGATTATGGCTGATGAAAGGGAGTCAGGTGCACTCAGCTGTTGCGACACATGTGTCAAGAAAAAGATAGTTCTGCAAACTTAATTTTAACTGAAAAATGGCCGAGGGCTCTCAGTATGCCATATATCCAGTTCTGCCACACCAAAGAATGCACCATGTTCTGAAGGCTTTTTAAAACAGGATGAGGCTAATTAGGTTAATCTCATAGGGGTGAACTTTTCAAGATAGTGACTGCACTAGTTAGTCCCGACTTTATGTTTACCCCAGATTTAGAATACGACATTGGTAGGTTCCATTCCTCTTGCTTCCAAAAAACAAAAAGGGCCAAGTGAAGGAAGGCTTGGTAGGGCTCAGCCAAAGAGACCACGAGATATGTATTTATCCAGACAAGGAGGCTGTTCAACATGGCTTTTCTAGATAGAAATAATCTAATTTTGATAAATAAAGAATTCATGAAAGCCATGCAGGCTTGGCCTGCCTTGATCACCAACACTGACTGACTGAGTCTTGTTCCCAGTTTAAGCCTAGGGTTAGTGAAAGGGAGAGAGGAAAAGTGAACATCCTCCTGATTAAATTACATCATCCAGTAACACACATCTGGGACACATGTTCCCCTTGCTACCAGTGACTGGCAGTTTGATACCACTGGCTCTATGGGCCCATCTTACTGCCCATAGAGTAAGCAGGGGAGCTACGGGAGCCGACTGTGAGCTGACAGACCCATCTCAGGAGCTCTGTTCCACAGGAAGACAGAAGGGAGACAGAGCTCTCAACTGTGCTTCTCACAGCTTCCTCTGGGTTAAACTGAGGCACAGTAGGAAAGGTGGGGAGACCCCGCTTAGGGTAGCAGAACATAACCTGACAAGAGATGGTTCTTTGGACCATGGGACAGAGGCCCTGAGCACAGCACATGCAGGGCCTGGCCAGTCCATGACCTTTCACCCTCCCAGAGTGAGAGGGTAGGTAGCTCCAGGAAGCCTGCAGCAGCGGGATGCTACTCTCCGTGTGGTGGCTTCCTCAGAAACAGCCATAGGAAGTTCCTAAGAGCGCATGTGACAGCAAGTGAATAAACCAAACACTTGGGTCAACAAGACCCCTGGGGCTTGCTCTTGTTCATCCTGGGAAGCTGAAGGACTGGTCACCGGGACATTGGTAGGAAAAGTGTTGCAGGTTTATCCCGCCACTTGATTTCCCCAGGGCAATGACTCTTTAATAAGATTCAATGCTGCCTCTTTCCAGGGATTGGCTGGGTCCTTCCTGCTACCCCACTGAGCTCTTTGACTATGGGAAGGGCAACTACCAGGCTGATGACTTGTGAGAGTGACCCCTAATTGGCCCCAGTCTTGCTTCTGATGCTAGGAATACCATTTTCAGCTTCAGAGTTAGATGATCACACTTAGAAACAGTGGTGAGAGAGCAGGACAGACAAGGTGAAAGAATTCATCTTTCTGAAAGTGCTTGTGTTACCAAAGGGCTACTTTTACATTAGAGGGAACTTTTAAAAGAGTTTCCTTGGGTAGAAAAAGAGCCAATGTTTTCCAGCAGACAAATGAGAAGTACTCTTGAAACGAGGCTGAACAGGCAATGGTTCCTGCCAGGCAGGAAGCATCCTATGTTGTTGGCAGAGGAAAGCTACAAACCCCTGGCCCCACCCCCCATCAGTGTGTTATCTGTTGATTGGTCTGACCCAAAACACCTTGGGTATTTGAATAACTTCTATATTCAATACATAACAGGATGCTAGTGAGATAGGTCTCTGTGAAAGGAGAGATACAATTACTTTGCAATCAAAATTTAAAATCCTAGATCAGTGTATGTGGGAAAAAAAAAAAGGAAACCCGCAAATTTCCTATGGAAATTTTGAGCATATGCTTTGGTGTCAAATGAAAAATATATCTTCCAAAATCTGACTCTCCTCCAGGTCTTCAGGGGTCCTGTGCACTCCCATCTTCCTCCAAGTGGATTTTGGGGGGCTGAGGCGGGAGGTACTGTGACTCCAGAGCCCAGCTTCTCTGGAGGGGCGCAGCTGAGGTTGCGGAGCAGATTTTGGGCTCAGAGACTTAACCAAGTCCAGAAGAGAGGTCTCATACCTGTAAGACACACAACCAGACAGAAAAGGATCAGGCGCGTAGAACCTCAGAATCCAAGAAGCCCTGCAGACATGGACTTTCCTGAGCAAGGCTTAGATAACAGATCACGTCACGTGCAAGAAGCCTGATGGGAACTTCAGGGAAGGTAAACATCAGAATGGCTTCGAGAGCCAAGGCCCTGCTGTCTTCTATGTCTTCTCTTCTGCTGACCTCTAACTTGTCTTTTTCTTTTATTGTTTTCTTAATTTATTTTCATTTACTTGAAGGGGCAGGGAGAGAGAGATCCTGCATTTGTTGGTTCATTCCCCAAGTGCCCCAGTTCCCCTGGCTGGGCCAGGCTGGACAGGAGCCCAGAACCCCATCCAGGTCTCCCAAGTGGGTGGCAGAGGGCCAAGCAACTGGGCCCTCTCCCTCTGGTGGCTTTCAGGACTCATTAGCAGGAGGCTGAGCTGGAAGTGGGGGTCCAGGAGTAGAACCGGCACTCTGATGTGGGTCACAGGGTTCTCAAATGATGCCACGGAGTCCCTTCTTCTGACACTCCTTTCTAACTCCCACAAAGAGACCACAGAGTGGGGAAAGTAATCATAACAGTAGGAGTGATAATAACAGTAGCATTTATTGGGAGTCTGGCTTGCCTATCTGTTTCCAGGGCCCTTCCCTGCTGCAAACATTTTGCCTTTCTGACCTGAGCACTGAGATAGGAACTGCCAGAGTTCTGGCAACAAATGTCAGTAAATTATCACAAAACAAAAGCAAACACACAGACAATGCAATACAGCATATCAGAGAGATAATCAAATTCTCTGGAGTTTAGAATTTCTGGTTTTAAAAACTGCTGCAACATTGCAAAGTAAATATTCACAGCACTAAAATTAGAAATTAAAGTTAAAGGCTGTTGCATTTGATGGGAAAAGCAAAACACTATTTTCACATGCAGCTTCAAATGAACAAATTATTAACGAGAAATATAATTTTTTAAAAATTTATTTATTTATTTGAGAGGCAGAGTTACAGACAGTGAAAGAAAGAGACAGAGTTGCAGACAGAGAGAGGCAGAGACAGAGAGGTCTTCCATCCAATGGTTCACACAATTGGCAACAATGGCTGGAACTGTGGCCATCCGAAGCCCAGAGCCAGAAGCTTCTTCCAGGTCTCCTACGTGGGTGCAGGGGCCCAAGCACTTAGGTCATCTACTGCTTTCCCAGGCCATAGTAGAGAGCTGGATGGGAAGAGGAGCAGCCGGCACTAGAAATGGCACACATACGGGATGCCCACTCCGTAGGTGGAGGATTAACTTACTGTGCCATAGCACCAGCCCCAAGGAATATAGTTTTAAATTAATTTTTCTTGGACTGGTGGCAAGATGGCGGAATAGGAAGGGAGCACACTGATAGTCCGGGAAGAGACAGTTTAATAAAAGTGGAGATACTGCAGGTTCAAGGAAGAGTAGGGGAAGAAACAGCAGAGGAAACTCTTCTGGAACTAGTGATTCACAGTGGACCTGCGTGGAGAGTGTGGGAGCCCATGGTTCAGGACACCAGTGGCAGAATCAACGTACCAGCACTGGAATGCAAGGTGAGCTGAACCTCAATAGCCCGAGACACCGGCAGGCAAGTGGAAAGAGGAGACTAGAGGGAACGAGGCTTGAAACCCCGTGGGGAAAGGTTCACCAGGCTAACTAGAAGAGAGAGGAAAGAAAAAAAAAAGTGACCGATACGGACACGAGTTTCTCTCTCTCCGCTCACCTCTCAAAGGCAGGCAAGACAAAGGGCAGGCGCCATTTTGGACATATGTCATAAGCAGGGTGACCTCAGGGCTGCACCCACCCACATCCAAGCAGAAAAACCTGACTCAGGGGTGTGTGTGTGAAATAATAGGAGATTAGGACCTAGTGAATGTGTGGTGCTAATGAACTGAGACTGTGAAAAAAGAGATGGTGGGTGAGAGAACTCACGGAATTCACGTGAGTACTCTCCAGAGATGCTACAATTCAGTAACCTTGGCAACCCAGTGGGGGACTGCAAGAGAATTTGAGCCCACACTGAGAGCAGAACAGATTCCTGTGTGGTCCTTGGGAAAGAGCTTCTGATCTCTGGCTCCTGTGGGTATATCATTCGCCTGCTAACTACCTCCAATTCCGCTCAGCAGTGCGGAATTACGTCCCTTTTGAATCAAAAAAAGAAAGAAAGAAAGAGAGAGAGATTTACCATGCCTAACCTGGGAGTGTCACCTTTGTTATACCCTTAACCCTGAGGAACCAAACAGAACTCTCAGGACACACCCATCTCAAGCCTCTAAGACTCCCTCAAAAGCAGAGAGTCCACTTAATACAGTCATAGTATAACAAGAATAAACACCACAGCGAGGGAAGAAGAATCCAAAGGATATCTCCACAATGCCAAGCAACAAACGCAGAAACTGAGGAAACAAGAACAAGGAAGATATTATGACACCCTAAATGAACAAGACACCTCAAGCCAAGATTATGAAGATGATGAGATGGAAGAAATACAAGATACCGATTTCAAAAAATTTATGATAAGAACAATTAGAAGTTTTCAAAAACAAATGCTTGAGCTATGGAATTCCTTACTGGACAGGATAGAAAATCTCCTTCGAGAAAATGAAATCTTAAGGAGGAATCAAAATGAAACATGGAAACTAGCAGAACAGGAATGTGTGAAGATAGTGAAGAGAAATCAAAATGAAATGAAGAACTCAATAGATCAAATGACAAACACATTAGAGAGCCTTAAAAACAGAGTCAGTGAAACAGAAGAGAGAATATTGGACTTAGAAGACAGAGAACAGGAAAGGATACAGTCAGACCAAAGAAAAGAAGAGGAAATTAGAAATCTAAAACATATTGTCGGGAATCTTCAGGATACTATTAAAAAACCCAACATTAAGGTTCTAGGAGTTCCTGAAGGCATGGAGAGAGAGAAAGGATTAGAAGGCCTTTTTAGTGAGATACTTGCAGAGAATTTCCCGGGTTTGGAAAAGGACAGAGACATCCGAGTACAGGAAGTTCACAGAACCCCTAGTAAACATGACCAAAAGAGATCCTCAACACGACACGTTGTAACCAAACTCACCACAGTGAAACATAAAGAAAAGATTCTAAAATTTGCAAGAGAGAAACATCAGATTACTCTCAGAGGATCACCAATTAGACTCACAGCTGACTTCTCATCAGAAACCCTACAAGCTAGAAGGGAATGGCGAGACATAGCCCAGGTACTAAGAGAGAAAAACTTCCAGCCCAGAATATTATATCCTGCAAAGCTCTCATTTGTGAATGAAGGTGAGATAAAGACCTTTCATAGCAAACAGAAATTGAAAGAATTTGTCACCACTCGTCCAACCCTGCAAAAGATGCTTAAAGATGTGTTACACACAGAAACACAGAAACACGGTCATCAATATGAAAGTAGGTAAAGGAAGGAAACCTCACAGTAAAAGATCACAGGAAATTCAAAGCATACGTTAGAAAATATCTTTGGCAAATGGCAGGGCAAAGTTACTACTTATCAATAGTCACATTGAATGTTAATGGCCGGAACTGTCCAGTTAAAAGACACCGATTGGCTGATTGGGTTAAGGAACAGAACCCATCTATTTGCTGCTTACAAGAAACACATCTTTCCAACAAAGATGCATACAGACTGAAAGTGAAAGGCTGGAAAAAGATATACCATGCCAACAGAAATGAAAAAAGAGCGGGTGTAGCCATCTTAATATCGGACAACATAAACTTTAACACAAAAACTGTTAAGAGAGACAAAGAGGGGCACTATATAATGATTAAGGGATCAATTCAACAGGAAGATATAACTATTATCAATGTATATGCACCTAATTACAGGGCACCAGTTTATTTAAAAGATTTGTTAAGGGACTTAAAGGGAGACTTAGACTCCAATACAATAGTACTGGGGGACTTCAATACTCTACTCTCAGAGACAGATCAACAGGACAGATCAACAAGGATACAGTGGATTTAAATGACACTATAGCCCAAATGGATCTAACAGATATCTACAGAACTTTTCATTCTACACATAAAGCATTTACATTCTTCTCAGCAGTACATGGAACCTTCTCTAGGGTTGACCACATACTAGGCCATAAAGCAAGTCTCAGCAAATTCAAAAGAATTAGAACCATACGATGCAGCTTCTCAGACCATAAAGGAATGAAGTTGGAAATTAGCAACTCAGGAATCCCTAGAGCATATGCAAATGCATGGAGATTGAACAACATGCTCCTGAATGAACAATGGGTCATAGAAGAAATTAAAAGAGAAATCAAAAATTTTCTGGAAGTAAATGAGGATAACAGCACAACATACCAAAACTCATGGGATACAGCAAAAGCAGTGTTAAGAGGCAAGTTTATATCAATAGTTGCCTACATCAAGAAATTGGAAAGGCACCAAATAGATGAGCTTTCAATTCACCTCAAGGATCTAGAAAATCTTCAGCAAACCAGACCCAAATCTAGTAGCAGAAGAGAAATAATTAAAATCAGAGAAGAAATCAACAGGCTTGAATCAAAAAAAAAAAAAAATTACAAAAAATCAGCCAAACGAGGAGCTGGTTTTTTGAAAAAATAAACAAAACTGACACACCATTGGCCCAACTAACTAAAAAAAAGAAGAGAAAAGACCCAAATCAATAAAATGAGAGATAAAAAAGGAAACGTAACAACAGATACCACAGAAATAAAAAGAATCATCAGAAATTACTACAAGGATTGTATGCCAGCAAACAGGAAATCTATCAGAAATGGATAGATTTCTGGACACAGGCAACCTACCTAAATTGAACCAGGAAGACATAGAAAACCTAAACAGACCCAACAAAGAAAAGCCCAGGACCAGATGGATTTACTGCTGAATTCTACTGGACATTTAAAGAAGAACTAACTCCAATTCTTCTCAAACTATTCAGAACAATCGAAAAAGAGGGAGTCCTCCCAAATTCTTTCTATGAAGCCAG